CTGTCCCTTTAAATCTTATTAGTTTATAAAATCACTTTTGTTGATATTAATAATCTTATAAATCAATAAAATGTAAACAAACAGAAAATGAGACAACTGTGAGTAAGTGATCTCGATTCTTTCAAATCAAGTCCATATGTTTTGAAATAAAACAAAATTATGAAGACCATGCCAAATCAGAGATTTAATTTTAGGTCATGTTTGTTTAGGTGGACATGAGCTTGGGATTAGACTAATAGTCTAATAAAATTATTAATCCGATATTTGGTTAAATAATTGAAGTACGGATTAATTATTTTAAACTTGACTATTAGTTAAGATAGGATATATAATCCAACGATCAAGTCCATATGTTTTGAAATAAAACAAAATTATGAAGACCATGCCAAATCAGAGATTTAATTTTAGTGTTGATGGGTTTGCAATTCAATTGGATTAAGATATACATATGCAATTAACATGGTTGATGGATGGCTCAACATTCTCAAAAATGATTATATAATTTAAGAGGCTATCAAGTATTTTCATTAATAGTCAGGCTCATGCCGTCATGGGCCACATGCAACTGAAAAAACAAATACTAATAACCAAACAAATTATTATTTTCACAGTTAAGTTCCAATGGGACCAGAATAAAGATTATGGATTCCCCCGAGTACCATAAGACTAATAGGTACTACAATGTATAAAGATTTCAATTTATTTTTTTTTAAATATAAAAATTTAATGTAAAAGATATTACGAGACCTTTTGTTATGACTCAAATCCGTCCCTAAAAATTTAGTTTATAACCGACCAATAATCATAAGATTACCTACAACTTCATACAAAAAACACATTTTTTTAATACGGGATAAGATTATCATACAATTTTTTGTTATCGAGTGAGTCATCGCACAAAGAATAAAAAAAATAAAAAAAATAGCGACAAACTTTTTTAAAATGTTGCCAATAAAGGACAAAATAATTTGGATAAATTATATACTAACCTCTCTTGAGATTGAGAAAAAATAAATAAATTTCACAATATTGACATAATTACATTAAGCTCCTTTAAAATTATAATTCAAATAACATTTAACCTCATTTTCATCAATAATATGTTAGTTATATAGATAAAAAATGATGTTATCATTTTTTTATATTGAAATATATATATTTTTTTATTTATCATTATGTTTTTATACCATCTACATTAAAAGAAAGGTTTGTATAATTATTTCAAAACTAAGAGGTTTATGTATTTTTTCTAAATCTCAAATTGTGTTATTGTAATTTACTTTTTTTATTACTTTTTTCTAAACCTCAAAATTTGTGTACTTACTTTTTTCTATTTTTATTTTCAAAATACTATAAACAATTTACAAAATTTATTAAATTTTTATAATCACAAAAAAAAAGAGAGTTGGTTTTTCATGTTTTAGAAAGAAAAGAAATAATTTCATTTCTCACTCCTCTCATGCCCTCCAATCACTACATCCGACCGCACCCACCTCCAGTCACCATCGCTAGAGACCTCCTTTGGCAAACACCTTCACAAGGTCAACAACTACCTTTCTAGACACCACCTTTGATTGGATCGAGCTATTCGATTTTGGTGGGCCAATCATGGGATCTAATTTGATGATCCACCTTCTTTTTCTTTTTCTTTTTCTTTTTTAAAGATAAATGTGACGTGATTATGTGACTGTGGTCATTCAATTATTTTTTTTTTATTTTATTTTTTATATAAATGATTTGGTTAAAAAGTTTTATGAACAGTTTAAATTATCAAAAGTTTAATCTCCATCGAAACTTAACAGAATAGTCTAACTAGAGAATCTTTTTTTCGCTATGAAGTATCTTGTTTTCATGAAAAATTTCAAAAAGCGTTGGCCAAACAAATTTTGTTTTGTTAGTGTTAACAACGTTGAGAAGCAACATGGAGGCAAACCGTTCTATTTATTTATTCGGAACAACATTTCAATAAAATAAATTAAGGAAAGGAAAAAAATGTGGTGATATTAATATAAGTAAAAAGGGGTAATAAAAAGAAGACTTATTTTATATAAATTCATGTCATGTGTCCCCTTCTATGCATCATTCTTTATCCCTTTGAATGTTATTAGTTCATAAACTCACTTTTGTTGATATTAAGAATCTTATAAATCAATAAAATGTAAAGAAACAGCAAATGAGACATAACTGTGAGCAAGTGATCTTGATTCTTTCAATTGGATTGGGATATACAAATATAATTAACATGGTTGATGGATGGCTCAACATTCTCAAAAATGATTATATAATTTAAGAGGCTATCAAGTAGCCATTTTCATTAATAATCAGGCTCATGCCTTCATGGGCCACATGCAACTGAAAAAACAAATACTAATAACCAATCAAAGTATTATAATCCTCACATTATTATTTTCACAGTTTACCTCCAATAGGACCAGAATAAAGATTCTAGATTCCCCCAAGTACCATAAGACTAATAGGTACTACAATGTATAAAGATTTCAATTTTTTTTTTTTTAAATATAAAAATTTAATGTAAAAGATATTATGAGATCTTCTGTTATGACCCAAATCCGCCTTTAAAAATTTGGTTCATAATCGGCCAATAATCACACGATTACCTATGGCCTTATACAGAAACACATGTTTTTAATATGGGATAGAGTTATCATACATTTTCTTGTTATCGAGTGAGTCATCACAAAAAGTACTAAAAAACAAAGTTAGCGTCAAACTTTTTTTAAAATGTTGCAAATAAAGGACAAAATAATTTGGATAAATTATATACTAACCTTTCTTGAGATTGAGAAAAAATAAATAAATTCAACAATATTGACATAATTACATTGAGCACCTTTAAAATTATAATTCAAATAACATTTAACCTCATTTTCATCAATAATATGTTAGTTATATAGATAAAAAATGATATTATCATATCTTTTATACTGAAATGTATATTTTTCTTTATTTATCATTATGTTTTTATACCATCTACATTAAAAGGGAGGTTTGTGTAATTATTTCAAACCTATGAGGTTTATGTATTTTTTCTAAACCTCAAAATTTGTTCTTTTTTTTAATTTACTTAAAATAATTTTGCGCTAAAGGATTTACTGTTTAAGTCAAAAGTTTTAGTCCCCAAAAAATAATAATTCATTACTAAATGTCCAGATTTATTATTGAAAATATAACAATGACATTTTTGACAATTCAAATTTTTTATCCCTAAAAGACAATTTGGCTCCTAAATTTTTGTTCTTAAAACTTTAATTTATTATTATGATGATTCACCAACCTTTGTAACTGGAACATGTTGCTCTGTTAACAACAGTATCTAATGTACTTAATTGAACAACCAAGCTTGTTTCCAATCTAATCTCCAATCTAATTTTTAGATTGAAGAATCTGGTTTGCATGGCCATGGGTCCACGTGGAATCTATTTTAGTGATTTGAATAATTTAATTTGTTAAATTTGTTCGGTAGATTATCTAGTTAGAAAATCAAGTTGATCAAATATTAATAGTTACATAATTTTATCAAATTTGTATGAACAAAAAAAAAATAAAATGGTTGATTTATTTCTAAATCGTTACTTATTGTCTATTCTTTGAGAGAAATGTGATCCGATTAAGTAATTACTGATATCCGATCAACATGATTTTTGATATGAATGATCTTCTCTATAGATCTTAAAGATGAAAGTTCGGATGACTAAGGTGGGCCTGTCATGAGCCCACAACCATGCAAAATGCACCCTCCATAACTTCTAATCCAATTATTTTTTAATTTAATTTAATTTAATTATTATTTTTTATTGCCAATGGAGACAACAAAAAGCTTCCATAACTTCTAATCCTATCTGCAACTACTCCAGCAATTTGATGCTCAATTAACAATTAAAAAACAGTTGGATCTATTGCTTTTTCCTTTCTTCTTGTCAAAATGCAAAGATTGATTTTCAGTAATGGCAAACTTATGTGGATGATGTTAAGCAAAACCTAAACCACAGAGAGTTAAGAAGAGAAACAACCCACCTGCTGGAGTTGTCTTTAAGATTGGAAGAATCATGCTAAAATAGTTAAAATCACTCTTCTTTTTTTCTTTTTTAACATATTTTCATACCTTTTTACACACCTACTCTATACACAATAACAAATTAATTTTTTGTAGACAAAAAAGTAAAGAACAAAATCATTTTTTAGGAATAAAATATTTTAGTTGTCAGAAATATCATATTATTGTATTTTTAGAGACAAAATTAGACATTTAGAAATCAATCACTATCCTTTTGGGACCAAAAAAATTGTCTCAAAAAATAATCCGTTCTAAGTTCTAACACTAAATTATTATGTTTATAAAAATATATGTATTAGCGATATTTTTAAAATTTTATCGTTAAAAGTCATTTTTTTAATTTTTCAAGACAACCTCTTAACAACTACCATGACAACGATAAAAATTATTCGTGAAACATTTTTTTTTAACAAAATTTTCACTTTCGATGAAAAAAAAAATCTATTCCTTAAAACTCTTATATATAAATGTATGTAGTACAAATTCTGAAAACCAAAATTCCAAACAAAAAAATAAGTAAATAAATCACTTTTTTTCTTTATTTTTAAAGATGGCTTAACCATTAGGCCACTTACACACTCGCTTAAGGCCCACAATAAATTTTTAATTTTTTTTTTATTATCAAAGGCCCCAACTTTCCAAAAAGCTTAAATAAAACCTCATTTTGATATTGACCTCTAAAAATCTTGAGCAGCCACTGCTCTATTTCCTTTGCTCTTAAATCTTGAGTTGTATTCTCTCTCTATATATATTTGACCATTGTATGCTCTGATTAGCATAAAATATAAAACAAAAAAGGAGACTCTGATCTTGAATGTATCATCCCACATAAATCTTTGCCTCTTCAACAACAAAGAGCGGTACTATTGAATCAGCCACTACTATCTAAAAAAAACTTATCACCTCTTTCAATGCCCATTCCAAAGTAAGAGAAGCAAAACTGCTTACATTGAAATACCATTAATATTTGTACATGAAGATCCAAAACCAAAACATTATGTATCAAAGTCTACAAAGAATCGGTATATCACCTACCAGTATTCTATTCACAATAACTGGATATGCTTGAATCTACTCGATTTTTGTATACTCGAGCAACATGTGCGGTGACCTGTAAATTTTTATGAGCGTCCAGTAGAGGACCTCCTCGACTCCAAGCTCACCCTCCGCTCTTGCAGCATATATGTCCTCGCATATGGCAATCAACCTTTTACAAAACCAACAAAGTACAACATTTTCATGTGAAACTTAACTCTTACGAATATGTCTGAGAAGCGTAAAATTGGAAAACAACAACATTATTAGCGAAGCTTACTATGATTTGCCTCGCATAACAAAATGGGGATGTGCTATATAGATACATAGTTTTACAGTTTTAAAAATTGAAGTTAGTATTATTAATAGGGGGTTATTGTCTTCATCTTAGCTCTCTGAACTCTTCAATCTTATACCTTACCAATTCAACAATCATGGATTTTATGTCAAAAGGCTTTCTGAAAAACCATGAATTTAGGGAGCTTCTATTTACAAATAAAACTACCTCTTTATACTCAATTTCTAATTACATTCCTTCAAAAATTCAAAAAAAATTATTTGATCTCCTCACACCCCTCGCAACTCCAAACATTCCTCTCATTACTAACCTCCCATCATCTCTTTACACCCCTACACCTTTCAAACCCTAACTCACACCCACCTCAACCACCACTTCTGACCATGAAGAACTGGGCTGGTGCGCAAGGTGGGAGGAGGGGCAGAAGTGGTTCGGCGGGAGGGAGGAGGGACTAGGTGGTGCATGGGTGGTTCACAGGGGTAGGGGCAAAGGAGGTGGGATAGTTCACAGAGGGAGGGGATGTGGTGGTTCTAGGGAGGGAGAGGGGTGGCGGCGAGTTGGGGAGAGTGTGGTGCTGGTGCCGGTGCCAATGGCAGTCACAGTGGTGATGAGGGTTAAGAAATTAAGGTGCGTTTGTTTGGACGGACTGGATAAGGGGGGATTGTAATCCATCGGACTGTTAGTCCCGGGATACATTGTCCCCGGGAAAATTTTACAAACAAACAATGGACTATTAGTCCGGAGCAAAATTTTACAAACAAACAATGGACTATTAGTCCGGAGCAAAATTTTACAAACAAACAATGGACTATTAGTCCGGAGCAAAATTTTACAAACAAACAATGGACTATTAGTCCGGAGCAAAATTTTACAAACAAACAATGGACTATTAGTCCGGAGCAAAATTTTACAAACAAACAATGGACTATTAGTCCGGAGCAAAATTTTACAAACAAACAATGGACTATTAGTCCGGAGCAAAATTTTACAAACAAACAATGGACTATTAGTCCGGAGCAAAATTTTACAAACAAACAATGGACTATTAGTCCGGAGCAAAATTTTACAAACAAACAATGGACTATTAGTCCGGAGCAAAATTTTACAAACAAACAATGGACTATTAGTCCGGAGCAAAATTTTACAAACAAACAATGGACTATTAGTCCGGAGCAAAATTTTACAAACAAACAATGGACTATTAGTCCGGAGCAAAATTTTACAAACAAACAATGGACTATTAGTCCGGAGCAAAATTTTACAAACAAACAATGGACTATTAGTCCGGAGCAAAATTTTACAAACAAACAATGGACTATTAGTCCGGAGCAAAATTTTACAAACAAACAATGGACTATTAGTCCGGAGCAAAATTTTACAAACAAACAATGGACTATTAGTCCGGAGCAAAATTTTACAAACAAACAATGGACTATTAGTCCGGAGCAAAATTTTACAAACAAACAATGGACTATTAGTCCGGAGCAAAATTTTACAAATATTTGTGGGACTAATAGTCCGGAGCAAAATTTTACAAACAAACAATGGACTATTAGTCCGGAGCAAAATTTTACAAACAAACAATGGACTATTAGTCCGGTGGGACTAATAGTCCAATCCCACACCCTTATCCCCCAAAACAAACATGCTCTAAGGGTTTAGTCTTTTTGATAATTTTACACGGATAAAATTGTAATAAAAAAGGGAAATGGGGAGCGTAATGAGGTAGTTTTGTTATGTAAATAGAAGCTCTCATGAATCCCTTGAGGTACACTGAAAAAGCACTATCATAAAGGCAAACCAAAAAAATATATATTTCTTAACTTTAGGGGTTTTTTTAATTAAGGAAAGCAACTTTCATTTTAGTCTCAACTCGGTAAAACATGCAAATTGTTAAGAACAATTTTTCTGTTTTGTCCTCAAACTAACAAAATTAAAAAAGGGGATGTTTTCATTAACTAATTTTGTATGATAACAAATCGTTATTGCAGAAAATAATTAATTACGAGCAAGGACCAGAGACACAATTTTCCTATTACCTGTCACAAGTAGGAAGGTTCTCGAAAGGGATTCTCATTCTTAGGTCGGAGCACTGAAGTCTGATAAACCGACCTACTGCAAGCACAAAGGTAATGTAGAGCCCCCAGATGCTGAATTTGCTTAGAGTCTCTCCAATAAAACCCTCTGAAATGGATACATACAACACAAGGGTAAATAATAATTCATTAGAGACTAAACTATCAACATTTATACATTGACAAAGTTTTCCTGAAGCCTACGTGGCGTTTCCTCAGATACAATAATGGCCGTTGGTCCTGCCAAGCCTCCACATCCACGTACATTTTGTGAATCGATATCATGGAAGGACCACCACTCAGGACTTCCACGATGTATAACAAGTTCCGCACAAACCATATTTCCCTGTAAAAAGAGTGGTTTTTCAAACTTGTGATTGATAATGGTCTAAAACAATAAAATTACTTTCATTATAGTGGGGACACAGGCCAATATATAGCCTCTAAAACATTACTCATATTTTTTGTTCTTCCAAAAACATTTTTTAAAACATTTTAAAGAAACTTCGAATGGCAACAAAAAATTAGAAGTTGTCAAAATGGTAAATGTCCTAATAACCTCAGTTTTCAGCAGTTCATTTGCCTATTAAAATGGTAAATTCTCCTAATAAGTGATGTAGGATGGCCAGACAGAACATTAATAATAAAGAACAGAACAAACCAGAAGAATAAACTAAACCCTAATTCTCAAAAATTAAAAAAAAAAAAAAATTCAATTCTGTTCAGTTCATCATCAAAGCCGAAAAACCCAAATACATAATGACCTCTTTATAGGCATAAAAAAAAAACCATCATTAAGATTTTCCAAAATAAAAACTACCTTAATTGAATACTAAATAAAACAATAAAACCAATTAAACTATAGATAAGAAAATAACATTAAAATTAATTTCTGATTGTCATCTAATTCCTTTCGTTCCACATCACATAATTTTCAGCAGTTCATTTGTCTATGAGCAATGCTGCATCGCCTGAATTTTGGCTTGCCCGAATCGCCCAAATTTTGGCTTGCCGGTCATCCAGCCAATGATCCAGCAACAAGGTGACAGTCACGGTCAACAAGGGTGACAACCACGGTAGACAAGTGTTTCACCAGTCATCTGGGTGGTCATCCAGGCGGCCGACCGGCATACACAAATTCGGGTGATTCGGGCAAACTCAAATTCGAACTACCAAATCATTTTACTTTGTCTATATACTCTAATTAGAACACCATGATGGCCATGTCAAATTGGTAAAAGAAAAAAATACAAAGTTCACACGACAGACACTGAAAGGAAAGGGGGATGGAAAAGATTGCATTTACGTCAAGGAAAAGGTGTTGAGATATACTGAACTAACATACCTCTTCAAAAGGTCTGCCATCACCAGAACCAGTTACCCGAATGTATCTTGGGTAAGTGTTGTTTATCCTAAAGCTGTTGGTAGAACCATTGAGAACTTCCACAACATCTGACGGGTCTGGAAGATATGAAGGACCAACAGAATTTTCATATTTCACCAGTTCCTTGCCTTTTGGTCGGTCTCTTGCAAGCACCCAAGTAAAAGTGATATCCATGCTTGTGTCAGTGTCAATGTCAATAGACTGGATAAATCTGTTAAGGACCACATCAGGGACAAGCCACAAAGTACTAGCATCGGGTTGGCAGCATATTAGTTGGATATCATTGCTGTCGTATGTATCCAGAAAACCTGGACGATCCAGATCAACTTTGTTGAGCTTATCCCACGGGATTATTTCGCACAAAGTTGTCTGGAACAAGGTCAACCTTCCACCTTCTGTCTTAATATCAAGCTGAACACTGGCATCCTTGATGGGGTTTGCTATGTTTGTCGGGTTACCACTGCTGTACATCTGCAAAAAAAAAAAAAAAAAAAAACATAGATAAATACAAGCTTTGTAAGCAGCCAATTATGCAAACGAATTGTTTGTTTAAAGAGTGATAAGTTATGAAGCACGACACTTCAAAATAGGTGTCGTAGTGCTATTGGACAGGTGGGGACACACTAGGGACACACACTGGAACACTCCAACTAGTTTTTTATTTTTTTAACTACTCTTCTTTAGTGCTTTTGATGGATGTTGTGGATGGTAGATGTTAAAAGCTTATTAGTTTTTGCTTAGATTTAAATAATGAATAAATCATCCATAAAAAAACCAACAATAAGAGTTAACTTAACAGTGGTTTTTTTTTAATTATAAATACATTGAATCAGTGTCAGTTTTTATAAATTTTGATTGTTCATGGATGTAATATTAATCTACATAACAAATAAAAATATCTTAAAATAAATAAATAAATTATTGTTGTGTACTCGCCAAGTCCGCGTTCCCATTTTTTTGAAAACACAGTGTTTGTGTCTGTACTTCTTAGGTGATAAGCATGTAGGCGTTCATGCATTTCCAAAGCTGATAGTTATGCTTGAGTTTTCTTAGAGACAATGCTTGCACCGTTGTCATTACTCTATATCCCTTCTCACATTGTTCAATATGATTTCTCCAAATTCTACCTTTCAAACAAAGTTACACGCAAGTGCAAACACTCATCACAAAATTAACGCTTGCGTACAATTTTGTAAAGCTAGCTTGCAAATCTTTTCCAATGGATTACAAACACATCTAGATCCATTGAGGTGTTCTGGGAAATTGAGGCCTAAGGACAAACTTTGAGAGATCACATAGGAGAAATTTGTTTGCTGTGGACCACTAGTTCAAGAAACATGGACGCTTTTTGAAAAAAACTTACCGTCATTTCTTTTTGAAATGCATAATTCTATCATAGAGGCATTTGGTATCAGGAAGAGTAAAAAAACTCTTGTTTTTCATGCACGTTGGCATCAAGCTGACATCAGCATGGCTATTGCTGATGTCAGCCTTACGAAGGTCCACAATTCTTTTTTCCAGCAATGCTCGGATGAGTCACAACAAATTATAGTCTGTATAAGATTCAATCGGGTTGATCATTTGAACTGATACTAAGTTAATTTGAAGAAAATATGGCCAACAAGAGAGAGAGAAGAGAGCATAAAAATGAAAAGGGTTTTGGTCTGAAATGACTGAATATTTATATATATACACACACACACATATGTATAAGGAATAGAATCTTCTTCCCAGATTTCTTACCAGCATAGGAGCCCAGATGATGCAGATTAATATGAAGAACAAACATAATCCATTGAAGAATTTAGTCATTTTTGTCTGCTTCTCTCCTGGTTTGTGTGTGGCTCTATTCAAAAGTGCATCACATTTCACAAGGTACAAGCTTGCGTTTATGTCTTCCAACTAAATGACCAGCCAAATATCAGTTTCACAAATAAGCACTTCAAAAATTCTATTCTACAACAAATAATCAAATAAAAAATTGAATATTTACTAGAAGTAAAAACGATACTTCAATAACAAATATTTTCGAATTCAATGTTGCACGGTTAGCAGGTTAGCAACCTTTGCCACCAAATGACACATGATGACATACCAATTGATATCTTAGCAAATCATGATGTCACAGCACTCCTAAATACCTTATTTTATATTCCAGAATTTTATGTAATCATATTACTCTGAAGACAGCATGCTAGAACATTACATTGAAGTTCTATACAAATATTTGTTTTCATGATGTTTTGATACTGCAACATGTGTGAAAGATGCTTCAATTCTCAATTCTTACAAAGAGATTTCATGTTTTTCTAAAAATAATAATAATAAAGAAAATAATAAATTTCAAACAATGAAAATGTATTGATTACTATATTCCTGACTGGCTCGAAACTCATAGACAGCCAAGGTGGAAAATGTATGTTCAAAATAATAGAATCAAGTTTCACAGGCTCACAGCACCTAAAATAATAAATTTAGACTTGGAAGCTTGACCTTTGGATAGAAGTAAAACTGTTATGCCTAGGTCAAAAATATCTTTGTGCAGAAGTAAAACTGTCATGCCTAAGTCAAAAATATCATATTCGAAAATTTTACAGGGACAGGAAACTGATAGCCTGTAAGATTTCACACTTTTCTAACTGTGAGTGAATTTTTCATCATTTTTTTATAAGAAAAGCTAGAAAGCAAGTGTGTGGGTATGTATATATGTACAAGAATGTTACGGGTATGTCAATACAGAAAATCTATAAAAATAAATAAAAAATAAAAAGGATACGGGTAAATACAACTTTTTTTTTTTATATAATTTCTAGTAGTGCATAATATATAACAATTAGAAAATCAAATGCAAAAAGAAATTAAAGTAAGTTATAAACTAGAGGTTAATACCAAAACTAGTTAAGGATCCAATTTACAAATCAATTCAAATCAAGGCACACTCCACTTCACCTACCTCCACTTCACCACACACTCCACTTCACCTAATCCACTATCACCTAATCCACTATCACCTCCACTACACCTACTACCACTTTTTCTTCTATATATAGATTGTATAGGAATTGTAATATCTATCTTGTAATACATCAAAGCATCAATCAATAATACAACCATTTCTCTTTATACATTAAATTTCTACAGTAAGTTATAAACTAGAGGTTAATACCAAAACTAGTTACCTTCACCTACTCCACTACACACTAGAGAGATCGACATAGCCGTAAAATTTCAATTTGTGATAATTGCAAAATTAACTCTTATATATATATATATATATAAATATTTTTTTTTTTGAAAAACAAGCACAATATATTTGTTCCAGCATATTAATATTTTTTAAAAATTACATTTATGCCTCAACGTACCGACAAAAGTACCCGAAACGTACCCATGTCGTACCAGAACCATACACAACATATAAAAAATACTTGATACATATTTCATGTTCCTGGTACGGGTGCAGCCATATCAATATGTGTATCCGTACCGAGTAAGTACCCACTACTTGTATAACAATATTTTCAGAGTGCCCATGCTTTATAGAAGATAAGGCACCAAGGGGGTACCTAATCCGTATACAAAGAGAAGCCGAAAAACTCTATGCATCAAAAAACTATGAAAAGATCTATACAAAATCCAAAATTGTTTCAAGGACGGGTTGACTTGCCTTGAGAACCAATTCTACGCAATAGAGAGAGAGGGTAAAAAAAAAAAAAAACACTCAATTTTAAACACCAGACTTTCCAAGCAATCAAAATTTCTCCAATTCTGCTCACCCTAAATCAGCCATACAAGTGCCAACGGAACCAATTGCCAAGCCTTCCTTCTCCATGCACCCACCCAACCTCCACACCAAGTCAAAAGCATTTTTCATCAATTGTATATTAATATTTTCTTAATAGTATGTTTGCTTTTATAATATGTATGTGTTCCACTAAATGCATTAAAAAAATAGCACCAAAATTGTTTTTTACTTTCTCTTTACGGTTTCCTTAAGCATCTCAGCAATACTCTTTTGCTCCAATGTAAACATTTAAATAGGCATGTAACACAGAAATAGAGACAAACACTAATCTTACAAAAAGTAACAAATATAACTATACACACAGATTTGAGGATAATCACATTCACTTTGGCCAGAGGTATCTCTTTGGTAGAAGGTGAACCTCATCTGCATCATAAATATACTGGACAATCTTATGTGATTATTTTACACTATCAATTTAGTTTTACTTTCTCAACTTAATAATAGTAGTAACAGTTTTTTTAAATAGTGGCTGTTCATTAATTAGTTTCATAATTGAATCTGGATAGTTTGGCACCACTACTACGAGAAAACATTAACAAAAACTCACCTTCAGCCAGTCATACATTGTCAAAGATGTTGTTGTGCAAGACCAATCAAGTACACATCGCAGTTCATAAAGGAATGGCAAAGCACGATAGATCCGATAACCTATATAATTAACTCGTGCAACTTTGCTCGTCAGAAATTGCCGATACAGAGTGCTTTTATGTGGAACCCCATATCTGATCTGTATGGCTTGCAGCGCTAGAGAAACTTCTTTTGTTAAATATATAGCACGAATTGCAAATCCTCTGGCTTGTCGATTTGAAGGTTCCATATTCCAAGCATACACTGTAACAGAATATGTAAAGAGGATGAGGTTGAAAATATAGAAGATCACTTTTGCAGTGGCAAACGAGCAGAGATAGATAAAGCGATCGAGCACAATCAAGAAGAAGATAACCTGCAAAAGCATTACGCTGAGTCAATTCAATATCTCAAAGTAGGCCCCAAACTATATTTATAGTATTCTATCTGAAAAAAGGTCACACTTCTTTGTGTGCATAAACTTGTATAAGATGTTGGTCTTCATCAGTGTTACAGAAAAACAACACCAGCAAGTTCAGTCTCTAAACTAGGAACATTTGGACAGGTTTTGTCAAGATGACCATCTTAGAAAACCTAGTCCAGTCAATTGGTTTTCATAGTCGTGATCCTGAAATGTGTTAATGAGAGAGTAACTAGTTGACTCGGTAAAAACATAACTATATTGCATTTTGCCATAATTACTGTTGAATTTAATTTTCAAGTACTGAAAATATTACACATAAAATTAAAAGGACTTACCATTAAAATAAATACAAACTCCTTGGGGAATTGATCTTCAAGCTGATACACCTCAAGAAATTCACTTTTGTTTTCTATGACTGATTGGTAGAAAATGGCAACTAAAAACAAAACAGCCAAATCTGCGCCAAATATGTAGGCATATAGATCAAGTTCTCTTTTACCTCCTCCAACTACAGAGAGTATAGTGTATGGGAATCCCACTTCTTCAATAATACCTTCATGTTGTGCATGAAGAATCTCCTTTGCTACATCAGCTGCTGGAGTTAGTGACTGATACGATTCTGTCAGTGTACATTCTGATAATGGTGATGCATATACCACCTCAAAAACAGCCAAGGCCACATTTGAGTTTTCTGAACTTCTTTCAATGCTTTGAACGTGGACCCTACTAGCAGAATGGCAAATATTAGGGTCTTTTTCCTTGCACCTCTCATCGTGCACAATTTTAAGCAACTGATTTATTCCAGATTCAATCCTATCTGGTTGAATCCCATCCTCAGGCCACACACGGACATCCAAAGACAACTGGACAAAGTAAGGAGGAGCTTCCGCTCCCTGTGTTAGTGATTTCCAGTAGATAGAGAAGCTTCTGAATATCATTTTCACCACATTTGTTATTGGTTCGAGCAGCTTACGTGCCCTCTCATTCCACGTAGAACTCAAAAGAACCTCTTTCTGAAAGAAAACTCTCCTCTTAGAAATATCATATTCTGTTGAGGAAATCCATTCACCGTCTTTTGCAGTTATTGAGCTTTGTAGGAGTGTAAACAAATACACTAGAAACAGAGGCCATGTGTTGATAACAAATGACGAAGTGATTTTATTCATTGGAAAACCCAACTCATAAAGAAGGACTGATTTGATTTCCGACCCACAGTGTTGGATGATGATTTGATACAGATACTGAAGCAAGATATTCATCTCTGTGTAGATTAACATAATAACCCAGAAGATGTAACTCGGACCAGTATTTACGCATAAAGCATACAAGAACAAAGCTGCAAGATATACCATTGAAAGCAAACTGAAATTCCATAGGAAGACAAGCACAAAGCAACAATAACACACAATGTCATTATTGGACCGCATCTGAGACCATATATGATGGAAGATCCTCCCGATCTGCAGACTTGCACCATCAGACATGGTTCTACTCTTGTCGGACTGCAGAGAAGATGAACAATCCAAAGACTCCTGCCTCATATCTGGAGTCTCTTTTTCATTATGTAATCCCTCCACTCCGGAAGAGTGCTCATTTGTATCTGAATCTTCATTTGCAATGTTCAAAAAGCTCACAAGATTTGTAACAGCCTGATTTCCGAAAGACTGTACTTGGGAAACACTGTCACCTAGGAGCTGTACCGCTGAAATTAAGGGGTTTTCTTTTCCCTGGCCTTTAGCGTTATTTTCCTTGTCTGAATCAATTAACGCACAATCAACATCATCCTCTTCAAGCTCAACGATCTCACAACGAGGTACTTCCATTAAATGTTTTGTAGACTCCACTGCTGATGGACTCTCCAGTTTTACACCATTAGGAGATTCATGCTGTTCTAATGGAAATACCATGTCCGCATCTATATTCAGCTCCTCTTTTGTGACATCTTCATTTTTTTCACGCTCTCCAGAATCTCTATTCAAATAAAGAGAAGTACTCTGCCTCCTCCTTAACCCTTCACTATTGGGAGAAGTGTCTCCACCACAAGTAGCGGTAGGGTTCATACTATGAAGCTGGATTTGAAGGTTGAGCATCTCAGATTTCATCTTCTCCACTTGCAAGTTACGCTGCTGTTTCTTTTCCTCAGATTCACGAATATGCTGTAACTGTGCCTTCTTCCATGCAGTTTTCTTCTCTTGTTCACGTACAATGGCACCTATTTGCTCAGCCTCCAGGTATCGAAACACATAATCAAACTCCCGGGAAGAGAACATATATGACTGCAGTGATATGAGCGTAAAAATAATGATCTCAACAAGAGCTGATCTTGAAGTAATCCGAAACCCATAGTCATATTTATAAAATCCAATCACCTCATAAATGTAATCTATTGTGTCACATTTCCCACCATTGAAATCCCCCACGAAGGGAGATTGATAAGCCAGTGATAGAACAATAACAGCAAAGTTATACATGCGCAGGAACTTGAAGATTTTGTTCTTCTTCTTTAGTATCTGGAGTCTTATTCGGAAGAAAACTAGAGCGAAGCCAAGATAACCAAGGTGCAATATGTCGTACTCGAGGGTTCCCGTAATCAGAATCAGAGCAAGCACAAGATCTAATAGATGACAATAGCAGTAAAGCCTCAAGTAATCAAGAAAAGTCCACATGCTTTTTGTCTCAATAGAGAGATCCCTCCAAACAAATGCATTCTTCCGTTGAGACAACACTTGGCGATATGTAAATGAAAGCAAGAATCCAGAAATGTGATTGGCACGAAGTTTGAAACACGCAAGCATGAAGACTGCAAAATAGCTAATAAGCATTCGGGGATCATCAACAGTAAATCCTACAAAAAGAAAAGAGTATGTCAGCTTTATGTAAGCAGATAAAAAAACGTTTTTTAAAGGGAAAAGAAGAAACTAAAGGCGTTGAGTAACAATATTTTGGGATTGCTTCAAACGAGGCACAGATATGTCCGAGTCAGGTAATACTAGATCAATTTGCAGAACTGTAAAGTCAGCGAATGACAGAAGTCTCTAAAAAACATATGGGCTGACATTTGTTTTTTAATCTGCTAATGCTCTGGATATGCAGAACAAAATTAACTCCAAGCTTTTAAGCAATACAATGTTGAAAGACAGCAGAGTAGATACTCTCAATCAAACCACAACCCTGTCATGCTAAGAGAGTCATACCCAGCCAACAGTTTCTGCAGTAACTGAAATATAAATTTGAAATTCGCCAACAATCATGGCAGTGCACATTAGTCCCACTTGGGTCATGTTGATTCAATTGCACAACAGTCTTCCATAGAGCAGAGTATTCCAGTATGAGCACAGAAGCAAACAAGAAGACAAATATTGGCCAGAATTTTCGTATAATAAGCCGATCCAAAAGAATGCAAGCAGCGAGGGATGCAATATACAATACAGAGACAACATTCAACACAGCAAAACTGGCAAGAAGCAATCCAATCATGTTTATCTCAAGGCCAAAGAGGTTGAATGTATTTTCCATCCAAAACTTCAAATATATTTTTAATGTAGTCATCTGTGTTTCAAATCTCTCCTTCCTCATCTCATGAATCTGCTTCGTGTTCCACTTGTGGCTCTCCTTAGAGATTCCCCACACATAACCAAATGCATATTTTCTAGTGCTACTATCCTGGGAGTCTCCGGTATTAGATGACACATTGTGAGATGATTGAGACACATCAAAATTGAAAGATGGCCATGAATTGCTAGTCACCCCAATTCTTTTTGCAGATAGTGTACTAGATTCTGGTGAAGCTTTAATTTCACCATTAGAAACAGAAGTTACTGGCAAGGTATCTTCTTCTGAGATGAACAACGGGCATGGTTCCTCCCATCTTCCTGCATTTCGAAAAGTACTTGGCACCTGCTCCAACCAATGGAAGACATTGTATTGAAGGGTACATGCAGCGATCACCAAAACTTTTCCTCTCAAGCCTTCTTCTAGACCCCAAAATCCAGGCTTAAATACCTGGAAACCCAGAATAAGGGAAAAGTTGTAGTGGTTCTGGCCCGGAAACATCTTAGCTTGTTTACCCCACATCTGAAACAGATATTCAGCTATCACTAGAAATCCTGTGTAAATCAAGAATGATTTGGATGGAACCTGAGAAACTTTAGGACAATTTGAAAAGACAACAAGGCCAAGAACATACAAAAACCCGAATGCACTTATTGGAGATAAAGATGCATAGAATAATGCAGCAAACAAAATCTTTTGACTGTGCCAAATCAGAAGCCGCCTGATAAACCCAAGTACTCCATATTGCATTGGATCAGGGTAATCTGATCTAATATTACTGCTTTGCCTCCTCTCATAACTATAAAGTTGCATCACTATCATGATTGCTAGAGATTCCCAAACATTTTCCCACAGTGAAGCTTCAGTATCATATCCCAAGTCTAAAAGATCTATCTTCTTGGACAGCCACATCTCAAAGTTGGGAAATATACTCAAACAATAGATGAAGATAAACACCACAATTGCATATGCTTTCAGTGGAAACCATAGGCGTCGTTTTGTTTTCTCAACAAGTTGTCTTCCAATGATCCAGATTAGGAGAAGGAAAATGTACCCAAATGACACATAATTGGGGCTCACAAGGTATACCGCAATAAGGATAGTCAAAAAAGCAATGTAGGTCCCAAACGACCGATATACAGATAAAAATTTCTGCCCTATAGCACTGAGGTATGAAGCTATCTTTCTCTCTGAAAGAAGAATAAACAAAAAATGAGTAAGAACAACAATAACAATATGACTACAAACAGTAAAAGTAGCAGCTGCAGTTTTCACTAGAATTGTCAAAGTATGCAGCTCACACACAGGAGTTCCATTATCTGTTAAACCTCATAAATCACCATAAACTTTTCTCTGGACAATTTTTCGTAATCTTTCAACGCATCCAATGAATGCAACAGATTATTTTCTTATACAGAAAAATTACTTCAAACTCTAATAGAAATAAATGAATGGTGAGTTCACTCCAGAATCCTTGAACTCTGCATGAGAGCCACATTTCCAAGACATTTTGCAGGAGGTATAATGCTTAAAATAAAGATTCAACCATGACATAAAACATTTTGTGGCGAAAATGATACCAAATCTTTAAATAAAATTGCCGACTGAAGTCAAAGACAAAGATAAAGATAAAAAGTCATTCCAAAATAGTCCGTGAAACTTCGAATAAAGTCATACCATAAGAACCATCGGTATGACTGTCTCTGATGGTTGATGAGGCATAAACTGACAATAGAACTGATTTATTCAAACCAGCTTTCAAGATGCTAAATCCAAATGGAAGGCAAGGGGCATGCTGCACTATTGCCGAGAATGAAAATAACATTTCAAAACCATGGTTATGAACTGCACATAAGCATACAAGCAAAGCTATTTCCAAGAAATCCCAGGAACTGTCACTTTCAAGGAGTCCTACATCATTTCAAATAGAAGTTTTGTTGATTAAGTACCACATGAAAAAAAAATAAAACATAAAAACAGAACGAAAGTGAAATGTATACAATTGTACAAAATTTAACTTTCCCTTGAGGAACAATTAAAAGCATAACCATGTCCTCTTAAAGGCAGTAACATACAAGCATACCTAACTGAGATATAATTTCCAGGCTCAACGACCCTGTTTGCTCCAAATAATTGGAGACAAGATCAATCTGAATAATGTACAATATGGCAAAATGAGCTTCGCAAAGAAGAATCAGGGATTGCCGTATCTTTTTGCTGATGTTGTGGCTCAAAAGATATGTCAAAAAGAATATAACTGAAGCACATATCAGGATTTAAAACCAATTAGTAAATTACCCTGGAATCGTCAATGAATAAATAAATAATAAATTAAATTATGGCTAACTAGACATACTATATACAGCATGAACGAAACCAGGTTTCATAGCAATGAGAAATATCAACACCAACTCAATAGCTCGACAGCATTTGCGCAGTCCCCAAGCAATTGTAGCCACAATCAATACCTTGGTCTCTTCCTTTACTGCAATAAAAAAAGACACGGGAAGATAATCACATAGATGAAATTATGACGATAATATTTATTTAGAGAAGAGAAATAAAGAGAGAGAAATTCGACGTAGACCAATCCATTGTTGCCAATAGCAAAAGAACCAAGTTGTTCATGGACAGCTTGAGCTCGGCTCTTTCAAAGCTTGTTTAAGCTCGACTCGTTTGCTAAATGATCAGGCTCGAGCCAAATATTTAGGTTCTTTTAGTAATTGAACCAAGCTCGAGTAGACACAAGCTCAGCTCAAATAGGCTCACGAACAAGGATATATAAATTAATATTTAATATATCAAATATATTTTCATTAATTTATTGTTTTTTTTGTTTATGATATTTTTCTCATAATATTCTCTCTTTTTCTCTTCAAATACATGATAATTTAGGTTTGATTTTTCTTTTCAAGCTCAAGCATAAGCTCGAACTCAGCTCATTTATGTAGTCAAGTTGAACTCGAGTTTCTCAAATATTAGACGAGCCGAGCTCAAGCTCAATTCTTCGAGCTCAACTGCTAATTATCAGCGAGCCAAGTTGAACACTACAAAGCTCGGTTTTGTTCATTTGCAGCCCTAACTGGATCTTTGTGGCCTAATCTGAAAATAGGGTTGAGACCTATATGAATCAAATAAACTCCCAAAAAACATAAACAAAAAATATACACACTCGAGCATATAGAGGACAAGGAGTCATACTCCAAGTAAATCTGCCACCAACAAATGGAAAACAGAAACTGAGGGAGATATTAATTAGTTAATTTAGAACATAATCTCCAACTACCTTCAACAGTACAGTTGTCGTTTGGAAATCGCCCATCCTCATCAGACAGGTAGAGAAAAACAGAGTTGCTCACAAGATTACCAAGAGCTACCAGAATTCCTAGACAAAATTGTGCAAGTAAGAAAAATCCAGGGATGGGATAATGCCATAGACCAACCAACTCCCATATCTCCATATCCTGCACGTGCTCAAAGGAGAATTGTTAATCGTCTAGTCTTGTCAGAATACAACCTGGTAGAGTGCATGCCCAAATGGAAGACTACCTTCCCAATTCTCCAATTCAGGAATGCAAATGCCACATTGAAGATGTATGTGCTAGCAGCCCACAATAGAATGAAGACAAGAAGCATCCCATTTAACCGGTGCAACCGAAACAAGGATGGGAAGGCATATACAATGTATCCAACATACGCAAGTAATCCAAATGCACAGATGCTTGCAAAATGGAAACTCCAGAAGGAAAGAGCAAACAAAGAGACCTGACAAGTTCACCACTAAATTTTTTTACATATAAGCCAAAGCTAACGGATTGACTTAGATGACAATGGAAATTGTATTGTAATTACTATTATAGCTACTAGTAGGTGGCACACACGATGCGTGTGCAATTCAAATAACTAATAATAAAGAATTTAATATCATAATATGTATGTTGCTTAAGTGATAAGTATGTTCTTAATGAAACCCAAGGTCTTGGGTTCAAAACTTGCTTACGTTGTATATAATAATTTTTTTATTTTAGCATATATAAAGTTGCCATGTGGCATGAAGAGAAAAAGGCTTCACTAAACCAATTTAGGCCTTCACTTAATAATAGTATAGATAATAGCTAAGAAATAAACATAAGCTATCTAAATGCAAACTTACACAGGAAAACATGCTTCCAAGATTATAGAGGAGATGATAGGCATACATCCCAATAATGACTACAATCATAAAGGAAGTTAGCCTGAGTTTTTAAAAAACAAAAAAATTTGTAATAAGAATAGGACAATTTCTCATATGTGCTATAACTAATAAAAAATTCTAAAATGAACCATGAACATGATTTTTAAAAGGATATGCGTTAAAAGACTAATTATTGGCCGCAAAACAAATTTTATAAACTCAAATTAGAAATGGCTAAAATAAAATGAAATTTTCAACCAGAAACAAGTTAAAGCTTTCAATGCTCTAGAGCTACCCCATTCATTTTTTGAAAAAGGAGGCTGCAGTGGCTGCAATAGTAGTGGCAACCATGGTGGTACGCTAAAGAAGCTGGTGACTCTAGTGGCTAACTAAATGGCTCCGCACTTCTTGTTTGCATATGACACTATTATTTATTTGGTGGAGTTGAGGAGCTAAAAGTGTTGAAACTTGTGTTGTTATGCTTTGAAATGGTGTCCAGCCTCATGGTTAAGCTAGGAAAAAGCAAACTCATTCTAGTAAGAGAGGAGGCTAATACGGAGGCCTTGGTGGTTAATATGTGGGGTTTGTTCCTTGCCTTTGGTGGTGAAGCCACCATTAGCTCAAGAGGAGCACCTCCCTCTTTGAAAATTTACAAAAATTTTTTTTTTTTTATTGATAAATAAGTAAACTTTATTGAGACCAAAACTTCACTTTTGCCAATTGTTGTAATGAGATTTTGTAATTTGACCCATCTAAAATTTCATGTATGCCCATCTAAATTTTATAACCCCTCTTTTTAACAAAATAAAATCACTGCAATATACCCCATTTAATGTAATGTTTGGATCTTGGATAATGCTAATGGAAAAGATAGTGAAAGAAGTTGATTTTTCTTTTCTCTTTTTTGGTTGGGTTAGGAAAATGAAAAAAAAAAACAAAAACAAAAACAAAAAAGAAAAAGAAAAAAGCGCACAGATATTTGCCACCAAAACAAAAAAACACTTGTTTTTGGTTAGTCACTAATTCAAAAAAAAATATGTGTTGGTGATTGCATTTATTCTTTCATTTTCCTTTCCCTTGTCTTTTGCCTTTAAATCATGTGATTTAGTGAGGGTTTTCAGTAACAGTAATAATGTTATTATGTCCAGTGAAATTGTAAATTGTTCCTATTGTATTTTTGGTTACAAACTTTCTTTACAATATGGTAATGAGTAATTGCAACAAAAGATTGTTAAAACGAATTTACTAGTTTGTTTAACAACTAAGAGCATCTCCAACGGTTCATCAAAATTTTCATCAAATCTGAGTAAAAAAGTGACTTTTTTCTCATTCTGATACGGAGGGCTCCAATGGTTCATCAAATCAAATTTTCATCAAATCTGCACTGGGACAACTGGTTGGTCGACCGACCGGTGAAGGAAAATTTTTTTTTTTGAATTGTTTGAACCATTGCAGTGAACTGTCTGAACCTTTTTCCGGGACGACCGGTTGGTCGACCGGTAAGGCAAAAAAAAAAAATTTTTTTTGAACTGTTTGAACTTTTTTTTTTGAACTGCTTGAACCCTTTAGTGGTCGACCAGTTGGTCAACCGGCTGGTCGACCGGTTGGTTTCCCCCAACGGTCAGGAATAGTGATTTGGTGAAATGCTGCGCCTGTTCTCATTTTGGTGAAAGGTTTGGTGAATTCTCAATTTGATATCGATTTGGTGAAACCGTTGGAGGTCAAAAAAGTGGCTTTTTCACCAAATTTTAAATTTAATGCCAGGTTTGGTGAAGCGTTGGAGATGGTCTAATTTTCAAATTTTGGTATTTAAATTTTGTGATATTTGCATATTTACATAAAACATGTATATACATGGAGAAAATAATTTTTACTTAGGAGTGCATTGTTAGTTTTGTATAAAAGATGTAACTCTTTGACTTAATGTTGCCCCCTCTAAGCCAAATTCCTAACTCAACACTAGTTGCCTTCTACTTATCTAGGACTACCATTGGGATCATCCTCTAAAAATAACGTGGTGTGGGATGAGGGTGGAAAGATACGAGAAGAGGTTGGCTACATGGAACAGATAGTACCTAGGGTATCTCTCCAGATCTTCTAACGTACTTATCTCTCTTCACGATTCTTATTTTTTGGTTAGCCAACTAGACAAATTGATAAGAGATTTTCTTTGGAGCGAGCTTGGAAAGGAGCTTATGTACCTTCTTGTATGGTAGGATTAGGTATGTTTACCTTTGGAGAGGGTCGCTTGGGAATCCCTTAGGTTCGAGGTGTTCAATAAGGACTGGATTTAAGAGGTTCTGAGACATAGCATGGAAGAGCCACAATATTAATAAGCAATGTACAAGAATGAAAAGGCAATGTTAGGTAAGATTTGGTGTAGGTTTGCTTGGGAAAAAGAAAGCCTAAAGAAGGGTGATTGATGGGAAATATGGGCATGATTGGGGGGCTTGGTACTACAGTGTTATTAAGGAAAAACAGTATGAAGGAGAGGGAAGATTTTTATAAGTACGAGCTTTAGAGTGGGGGGAGTGAGTATAAAGTGAAGTTTTGGCAGTATGAGTGGTGTAGCCATAGGCTTTTGACAGATATTTTTCCAAATCTTTGTAGGATTGTGATGTATGATGCAAACCATGTAAATATGTACACAGCATAATAATTATGGCCATCTTTGGCGAAGGGTGTTTTTGTCATTTTAAGGTGTTAAGCCTTGAGTAGCCTAGTTAAAGCGGTGTGAGGGTTTTTTGGGGACATTGGGGTTTTTTTGTTAGATAGGTTATATTTTGAGGGTGTTAGAGATATATTTCGTCTTTTGGGAGATTTATTTGCAAGTTCATTGTTTGTTGCATATGTTCACCTATTTGCTGCCTTCTATAAGAGTTTCTTGTTTTGCTGCCCCTATTTGCATCAATATAGAAGCATTTGAAGCGCATTGTGGGACTCTTATCTCCCATAGGAGGTGGTATGGGCACCCATTTTCCACAAGGCATAGCAGTATTGGAAAGTGGACTCCTGTCACGCATCTAGGTGGGTCAGTTCAGCGATGGACGGAGAACACTATTTTTGAAGGAGGACAGGAATGGCATTTTCTTGTTCTTTCTACCAATGTATGGTAGGTGAGAGCGAATGAAATTTTCATTTGTTTCCATCAAAACGGCCAAAACATTTATGCAATTAACATTTAAATAGTATAATAAGAAAATGGGAGATTGAAATTTTCACATGCACACCACTTTGGCCCTTGTGCAATTAATTTTCAATATAATTTATATCAATCTCTATTTTTTCTTTAAGTTACTTTGCCGCCAGATTGATTTTATTTATTTATTTTTAACTTTTTAAATGCTTGAGTAGTTAAGTGTGAGAACAAAAATTTCATATGAGACCAACCACTTTATGCAATTAATGCCAAAGGTCATGTCTATATCCAGTCCAACCCTCCTAGCACCCTTGGTTAACAAGGACTAGTAGATGAGAAAGTTTATATTCAATTTTATGATGTCTTCTCAAAGAATCAAGGGTGTTTGATATTTTATAAGGTTGTGGTGTAATAGTATTTTATTGTTGCAACTTGCAAGTATATGGGCTGGTTATGTTATTGTGCCTTCCTGTGTAACCATAGTAGGTTCAAAAAGGTCAATTAGTCAAATTTAAAGCCTTAGTTTGTAGACCCTTGTGCTGGCAGAAGATAAAAATAACAGCAATATATGTACTTTACCTATTTGATGGAGGATTGAGAGAATTGAAAATTGTATGCTAAAACCTAACCTTAGTAAGTGAATCTAAGAGGAAAATCTATGTAGTGTCTAGGGTCTTAAACCCGACTTGAACCCTCTTATATAAGTGCACTGGTGTTGTCTAGCATTGGTCATATTCAAACTAGTTTTTTTTTTGCTAAATAAGTAAATATTATAAGAAAGTATCAAGATGATGCAAAGAATACAAAATGTCAACCCCAATTAGGGAAAAACAAAGCAAACATTAGCCAATCACATCATCTAGAAAATCTAAAAAACAAATATGTCGATCAACCTTCCTCTCCAATCAACTATATATAACTACAAGAAGACGATTCTCTAACCAAGACACACCATGATGAACCTCTAAAAAGGTCCTCCTATTCTGCTCCAACCAAATAAGCCACATCAAATAAGCCGGCGCCAACGACCACACTCGCCGCCGCCAATACTCCAGCCGAACACCCAACCAAACCCATAACATATCCACCACTCCCTTCAATTGAACCCAAGCAATTCCAAAGAGCGAACAAATAAAACCCCACAACCACGAAACCACTGAACAATGGAGAAACAAATAGTCCACCGACTCCGCAGTAGCACAACACATACAACACCGATTCACTAGCATACGTGCACGCCGCATCAAATTATCCAACATGAGATTCCACGCCAAAGTTGCCGTCCACATGAAGAAAGCCACCTTAGACAAAACACCTAGCACCCAAACACTCTTCCAAGGAAAAACTGGTTCTAAATCCCCTACCAAACCCCTATAAAATGATGAAACTGAAAGCCGCCCCTTTTGCCCCCACCACATTCCATACCATAACACAGTCCCACAACTCCACCAA